GAAGCAGGGATTCTCGGTACAGACAGATATGCTCAAGCGCACTATTTCGTTCGTGTGGATTGCGCTTTGTCGGGCTGCTAGGAGGACACAAGGCAAGGGCAACACGACTTCGGGTCTTCGTCAAGTCTTTATCGAGGCCCGAGGTCGTGGCCAGCTCACCAGCGATGTCTATATCGCCGTTGCGAAGATGGAAGCTCTCATCTACAACGACCCAGCCGGCGGTAAGATCTTTGACCGCGGTGCAAAGCTTTTCCCCGAGGATGCTAGCTTCATGCTCGAGTACCTCAAGTTCTTGCACTCCAAGGGTGACACAACAAGTGAGCTCCCCCTTCTTTCATACCCAATGAATTCATACTGATCCATGCATAGATGCCCGTGTTGTCTTCGAGACTTGCGTCAACCGCCTCACACAGAAAGAAGATAAGAAGGACCAGGCGAAGCAACTATACTCATACTTCCACAAGTACGAATCGCAATTTGGAGAGCTCTCCTCCATTGCTGAGCTGGAGAAGCGCATGTCGGAACTCTGGCCCGCTGATCCCAGACTTTCACACTTTGCAAACCGTTTCTCAGTAGACACATTCGACCCCATAGCCTACCGCCTTATCATCTCGCCGGCTGTTCAACTGCGACCAAAGATGCTGATTCCGACCATCGAGCAGCCGACCTCAGTTCGGCAATCCCCAATGGCCTTGCCGGTTCGTCAGACGGCCAGCCCGGGCCCACAGTACATGGGCGTTACAAACTCTCCAAAGAGACCCTTTGCAGGCGACGATTATGAAGAGCTCAACAGGCCACGAAAGCTCGCCAGGGGAGAATCCCCTCTTAAGGGTGCCGCGGGCCGTCGTCTTGACCAGCAAAGACGCAACCAAGGAGCGCCTCTTTCCCGAGACATCACTTTCCTCTTGGGTATCCTACCACCGGCTCACTCTTATGCTCACTCGCCCAACGCATTCCGCTTGAGCGCTCCTAATCTCGTTGGCCTGATTCGCGACACCCCTGTGCCTGATTACAGCGCATGGAAAACCCAACAAGAGCTCGGCGCTCGACAAAACAACGGTATGCAACCCCCTTCCCACAGCCGACAGGCATCTGGTGACTACGCTGGGTACGGAAATGGTGGACGAAACTCCCCCCAGAGAGCCCTCAGTCCATACGAAGGATCGGGTAGGCGCCTGGCATCATCCGGATACAGGAGCTCTCCCCTCCGACCTGGCTCCAGTGGCGGACATGTCGACGCTTCTGCATACCGACAGGACGTGCCCCAGCAGGGGCAATATCCATCAGCGGCTTCGTTTGACGCGAGCGCTTCTTGGGCACCTGCTAGCTACAGCCAAGCACCAGCACAGCAATATGGCAAATATCAGTATTGATCTTGGAGCTGACGATTGGATTCAGGGGCTGGTTTCCGAAGGGGTTGGCCCTAATTTCGATGTCTATCACAGACTCGGCCGACCACATTAGTCGGTATCTGGTGGCTCATCAAACGTCGGGATAATGCCCAGCACGCTGTGTTGGGACCTTCCTTTTGATATTGAGCTTTAGTTCATGATTTCGAGGGCAATGATTCTCTCACGTTCCTCAAAGGGACATTGGTCGCAAAGTCTGCGACATTAGTGTTCTGTATAATACAAAAAGTCTTCAAGGGGCTCCGCATTACTGGAGGCGTTCAGGGCGGCGGCGGCGGATACTTCACTCGTGCGGCTCACAGAAGTAGCACACACTTTTTTTTCGTCAAAAAGCATACGCCACGGCATCACGTTCGATGGCTAGTCCACCCGATTTGGGGGATGGGGATGAATGGCAGACGGCTACATGGGATGCCACGTTGGGGTGTCATCTAGTTTGCTTGGCTAGCCGCTTGAGTAATTCAAAGAAATCTGCTTTTGACATGCCACTTTGTCTTACTGTATGGGCTATAAGAAGGGGACTCCTCCTACGTTGAGCGGCATCCTATTTGGTCACCCGCTTGTGCACTTGTGACATACCTCGATCAAGGCACGCGCGCAATATCGCCGTGTGAAGCTCCGGATAACCGCCCTCCAACAGGTCTGAGACTTGGGTTCTCATCCCAAGGTATGTTACCCTTGTCAAGGAGTAATCTCGCAGCAAGGAAAGCGATGGATGGCTCAAACCCGATGGCATCAACCCGACACTGTGAAATCAATTTAAAGCCCACTGAACCAGAAAAGAGTGTTCAGGTCCATTTACGTACAGTTCTTTCCCTGAAGCAGTACGTAATAAAGGTTCCGTTCCGATATCTATCGTCCCTAGAAGAACCGGGTATTAAGCAGCAAGTAGAGCATCCTCTTGGACGGTGGATCCACCGTCGACGTCATTAACCTCACTTTCGTTCGTTCATGGCGTTGACCTCCATGATAAGACTGACGTGGTGTTGAGGTCCGTCTATGTCGAAGACTCGCGCCTTGGGGTCTATTCCGCCTTGCTTCTTGGATCTTCCTGCTTTAACTAGGTCTACTTATATTAAGAAAGCTGCCTCTGCCTTAGTAATCGGACTAATTTAGAGTAGTTATAGTATTATGATGCTAATATTTATGGCTCGAAGGGTTTCTCCGATGCTGAATAGCTTGATACCGTACTTAGTTGTGCCCTTGATGGGTAGTAATGTCCTGGGCTGTTTTCTAGACTTGATTTTAACTGCGGTGCGGTCGTGATGGCTGTCTGCATTGGTAGGTGACTGTTGGGGTGATGTTTGTTGTCTTTGTTTTCCCTTCGAGGCTTCATTTCCTCCCTCCCTACCAGGGCCATAGAGTTCGGCTTAGGTAAACATACGATCTAATTTACCACCTCACATCAATGAAATAAGTTGCCGCTCAGCACCCTAGCTCTATTCTTCTTCTTCCTATCACTCTTCCTGTTGCTATTCCTGTTGCTATTCCTGTTGCTATTCCTGTTGCTATTCCTGTTGCTATTCCTCTTACTTTTCTTGTTGTCCCTTCTTAGTTTGCATGTATTCCTGAGAGGGTACGCTTTTAATTATACGAAGATTATTGGAATAAACGTGTTGCTAGGCCCTGATTACTGAGTGATGCTTGTGTTCATTCATCTCTTTTCTTGACCTGTGAACATAAGTCATGCTTGTAGACACAATCGCGCATGCCATCACCTACAGACAATCTGATAGCTCATAGCTTGACAAGCACATTCTGTTGTCCATGGATCGATCTGTAGCCCTCATGTAGACTTTTAAATCTTGTCGTAAGCCAGACTTTGTGAAGCTGGCGGTCCTGGTGACGCTCATGACGATTACGGGCTGGCAAACCCCTCCCGGGAGAGGGACCTTCCCAGTATGTTTATCCAAAAATGAAGCGAGACTCTGGCTGGAGACCAACCAGAGACATGTAGGTCATGTCGGATACTAGCACTGATAGACTAATGAACTTCGTAATAGGTGGAAAGCAGGGTGGTTTCACACATGGGATGCTAGAGGCTTTGAACGTGACTATCTCTTTACTTGCAGTATCATCATCATAAGGCAGCAGCATTCATGAATAAGACGAGCAAGCTCATGCCTCGCGGTCGAGCCTTCTGTAAAACAAAATTAGTCGGTGATACCTTCTAGGCCACGAATGTTCGGTCAATTCGAGGTCTACGTGTTGCGCTCTTTTGACCGTAGACTGCGTATGAACGTGCGGATTGCCCGAGAGTCTAACGCCCTTATTATTGTCTTCGAAGCCTTGAGCGTTCTCTACTGGGCTCCTGATCTCCGGTGTCTGGAATATCTCGGTATGGTCATTACATGGTAGCATCATTTACGAGTCTGGCTCTGATGTTCATAGCTATGCCGTAGCTTACTATTGGCGACGTACGTAGACTGAGTGGCATATGCCAATTCCATCATTTGCTGAATATTATCACCCGTGTATTCTATGCCATTCTGCTATCACGCTGCATCGTGAATAAGGCGTTCATGCCGGCGTTCTCAGCGCCTTGATGGCCATCTGGCAGGAGCGAAGCATCGTGATCTTTTTGATAGTGACTTGAATGATTTCATTCTGATATATGCCCGGCCAAAGGTTGAAGATCTCATTGTTTTCACCCTCCCCACATCCTAAAGTGAAGTCTTCATATCCTAAATCCCAACATCTCACTCTCTGGCAATCGATCCTTCCTGCTGCTTCTGCTGCTGCTCCTTCTCCAGAGCCACACAGCCGATTTCTAGATCACTCCCTCTCTCTGGAGGCTATATAAACCCACCTCTCAACCCTCCAGCCTCCAGATCTTCTTCTTCTCCTCCACACACACTCACATCGCAATCGCATCTTGCTTACCCAAACAAATAATCAATCACAACCACACACTTCACTCAACTTCAACTTTCAACTCAGGTAAGTTTGCAACATATCCATGCTTGACACACCTCACATCTCTGTACAAACACCACCGAGATACAACCACACGTATGATTTTGCTGCCATATCTTCCTTCCCAAACCCACATGCTGCCTCCTTCCTCCTAGTCAAAAGGCTGGAAATATCCTCCAAGGGTTCTACAAAAAGGCCTTTCCCTTCTCTCCATTCAACTTCTTCTCCTTCTTCTTCTTCCTCCACACATCACCATACTTTCTACAACCCAGCCTCACTGCCAACCTACTTCAATACAGACAAGGTATCCTGCCCTACCCATACATCTAACCTACCTAAGGTACCTCTCCGAAGGTATCTCTGGACAAAGGAGCAAGTTTCCAGCGCTCCTGCTTTCGAAATTCGTTCCTCCTCCTCAAATTCCTTCCTTCCTTCTAGGTCACCCATTCTTGACTACCTCCTTCCTCAAGCGCCTTTGACAGTTGCCGACCTAGGCAGCTACAAAAAGGGCCCTGTTCCTCTCTTCCCTCTTTTTACCTCTTCTTCCTCTTCATCTACCTCTCAACATCGTCTACCTCTCAACCTCGTCTACCTCAGCGAGCATCGTACATACATTCACTGACCACAAACAGCAACATCTGCACAGCAATTCCACAATCTCCACGACTAGACAGGATGTCTTCCGGTTCCCCTAGCCGTGGTGGTCCTGCCAGCCCTGCCAGATCCCGCTCGGGATCTCAGCCTAAGCATGGCTTCGGACCTTCCATGGGGTTCGACCCAGCGAAGCCCGAGGGCGGTGGTCCCAGCAAGGATCACGTCAACTCTCGTATCGACCCGCCCCCAGAGTCGTACCTCAATGCCGGGGAGACTCCCTTCATTCGCAGACCCGGTTACAATACCTCTGGCAAGGTTATCAACTTGGAGGTCAACCAGTTCCGCGTGAAGCAGTGGAACGACAGGATGACCATCTACCAGTACGATGTGTCGATCTCGCCCGTGCCCCTGAAGTACAATGTGGTGTTCAAGAAGGTTTGGGACTCTCCGCCTGTCCAAACCATGCTGGCGAAGTACAAGACCCTCTGGTTGAACGATGGCCGCAAGTTGGCTTGGTACGTCATCCTATTCTGAATGCCTATCTCCTCTAACACAAGTTCAGGTCGTCGGTTCCTATCAACCGTGGCGAGGAGCGCTTGAAGGTTGACCTTGACGAGGGCAAGCCCGTTCGTCCCAATGCAAAGCCGCGCGACAATTCCTTCTTCTTCGTCATGAAGGAGACGAAGAAGATCAACCTGGCGGCTCTTGAGGCATACCTCACCGGCAAGATGGACTGGGACAGCACTGTTCTGGAGTGCATGAACTTCCTCGACCACCTAGTCCGCCAATTCCCTAGCGAGAATCTTCTCTCGATCAAGCGCAATTTCTACAACGAGCGCAATCCGCAGACCATGGATCTTGGCCCCTGCTTGCAGGTCGTCAAGGGTGTCTACTCGTCGGTCCGGATGAACCAATCGGTTATTGACAAGTTTGGTCGAGGGCTCGGTCTGAATGTCGACGTTGCCAACACGGCATTCTGGAAGGGAGACAAGCTGTTGCATCTCTTCGTCAGGGACTTTCTGGGTACCTGCGATCGCAGATGGCAGGGCTTGAGCCCGCCGGACATCGCCAAGATCTTGAAGCCAGTGCGCCAGCAGGACAAGAACGGCAAGGCGGTACTCACGATGTCTGATGCTTTCAAGCACCTGAGGAAGCTGGCGAAGCTTCGATTCTGCCCCAAGCACCGCGGCAAGGAGAACTGGGACAAGTCTTACACCATCAAGGAGTTCGCATTCAACCCAACCTACGGTGACAGCGGTGCTACTACTGACAGTATCGTCTTCACGAACAACGGCGAGGAAATGAACATTACGAAGTACTTCGAGAAGACCTACGGTTACAAGGTTCTGTTCCGTGACTGGCCCGTTGTCGAGACCGCAAAGGCGGGCTTCTTCCCCATGGAGGTTTGTGTGGTCGCTGCTATGCAGCGCTACAATTACAAGCTTGACCCTGATCAGACCTCGGCAATGATCAAGGCTGCTGTCACTCGTCCCACCCAGCGCAAGGCGGACATCATCAAGGCGAAGAACCAGTTGGCATGGAAGGAGGACCCCTATCTCCGCCAGTACGGTGTTATCTTCGAGGACCAGATGGCTAAAACTGTGGGCAGCCTGCTTGAGCCCCCGAAGATTCAGTATGCCAACAATGTGGTCAGCCCCGTCTTCTCTGGTCGCTGGGACTTACGCGGCAAGAAGTTTTGGGTTCCCAACCGTGCTCCTTTAGCATCCTGGGGTATCGTGATTCTCGAGAACTCAACCAACAAAGCCAGTGCTCAGGCCTTTGCACAGACATTCAAGCAGACTTACACTAGCCATGGAGGCAAGATTACTAAAGATGCCGTCGTGATTGACAGCGAGGCCCGTAACAACAATGTTGCTGAAGCAATTGCTAGGGCATATGCCCAGGTCAAGGCGAAGACTAATGCTGTTCCGCAGCTACTCTTCTGCATCTTACGGTTCAACAACGTTGGCTCTTACGAGCGAATCAAGAAGTCCGCCGATTGTCGATTCGGCTTGCTTACTCAGTGCGTTCTTTCACGCCATGTTGACAAGAACCAGGCCCAGTACCATTCCAATGTGGCTATGAAGGTCAACGCGAAGCTTGGAGGCGTTACCTGCCGTATCCCTCACCCGTCCGGTCCTTCTAACAAGAACCCTCCTTTCTTTAAGGAAGTCACTATGATGATTGGAGTAGACGTTTCCCACGCAACTCCTGGAATCGACGCTCCCTCGATGGCAGCGATGACTATGTCGATGGATGCTGACGCCACGTTCTACTCGGCTGCTGTTGAGACCAACGGCTACCGCGTTGAGATGCTTTCTCCAGTCAGTGCCCGCACTTTCCTTGGTCGTCTCATGCCCACCTGGCACAAGCGTATGGGCCACCCTGCGCCTCCTCCCCACATTGTCTACTTCCGTGACGGTGTCTCTGAGGGCCAGTACTCACAGGTGTTGGAGTACGAGGTGGGAACGATGAAGAACATCATCAAGAACATCTACCCCACCGCCAAGCAGCCCAAGTGGACGGTCATTGTGGCTACAAAGCGCCATCATATTCGATTCTTCCCTCAGAATGGAGACAAGAACGGCAACCCTCTTCCCGGAACTGTCCTTGAGAAGGAGGTCTGCCACCCTTTCTGGTGGGACTTCTACATGTGCTCGCACGTGGCCATTCAGGGAACTGCTCGCCCTGTACACTACACCGTTCTGGTGGACGAGGCGAAGATGGGCACGAATGATCTTCAGCGCATGATCTATGGCCAGTGCTACCAGTACGCTCGCTCGACGACTCCTGTCTCCCTTCACCCGGCGATCTACTACGCTGATCTCGCCTGTGGTCGTGCTCGCGCGCACGAGAACATTGCTACCTCTCAGGGCTTCCGCTCCGGCCCCAAGGCGACGGAAATGGCTGACGATTACGGCTCCCGCGGTCTTAGCATGTTCGAGGGCGAGCGTCCCACCGAGTCCCTTCCCCTGCTGCCTCTTGGTGGCAGTGGCCCTGACTCTGACCCCCAGGCATCTGACATGTTCAAGAACACCATGTGGTACATCTGAGTACGCATATCAGAGATTCCAATGGGCGACGACTGAAGGAAATGCGATGGAGTGAGTGGTGATGATGGGAGAGGCAAGCATGGATGGTTGGCAGTTGAGGGAGGATTGCGGGAGAATGAAGTTACTAGTTCCGGGTCAGTCAGGAGGATTGGCCTCAATCGAGCGAAAGTAGATAGGATTACCTGGGTGAGCAGGCCCTGCTCTGCCGAGTCTAGATAGCGAACGTTGCCATTCACCAATTGCAGAGACCTTTCATGGTGATTGTGAGTTGTTGTTCCTCAGCAAAATCTGACAACTAGACCTAAGATGGAAGCTTGCTGATGCCAATGTCAACGGCAAGCCTAGCATCAACCATATCCAAAGCCACACACACACAATGTAAAAGAGACTGGTTTATGTACGATTTCTTGATTTCTTGGTATAGTAAGTAGTACATGACCCTCGTAGACCGACGCTGAACAACATCCATCCCTACAAGTTGTAGTTGGGAAAACCCGATCAAAACGCTTCCCCTCCTTTCCCACCCTGTAGGTAAGTACCTTACGCGATACGAACAATTTTTTGAAGCAAATGCCACCTTGTTCCCGTCCCCGTCTCCGTTCCCACATACACAACATCGATCGCTTCTCGGATGGCTTCCGACGCGACGTGTGTTCGACAGGGCTCCACATGAGCTCTCCGCTTTCTTCCACGGAAGCTTCGTCCCGAATGACATCAATGCAACCACTTCAACTCCACCCCCGCCATTGCAAATCCACCTCCACCTTTCCGATAGCTCGGCACATTATAGCCCGCGAATCGAGCGGATTGGCTTTTTGATAGCAATTATACGACATCACTGAAAGCAGATACACTTATTTCGCAGTGACGGTAACGCTGGGAATCGAGAGGTTTTCGCCCTTGCCCGAGGCGATGGGCATCTCGCGAGCCTTCTCATCCGAGCCAAAGTTGGAGCTCGCGCGCCGGCTAAGCGTGAGGCCTGACGTGGAACGGGCGCCCGGGCCGTAGTTGATGTTGCTCGCCTTGTCGAGCGTCTCCTTGCACATGCGCAGGAACACGGCGCCGAGTTCGGGTCGGTGCAGAGGGATCAAGCTGAAGAACAGGGAGGCGGTGATACGGAAGAGGGTCTTGCGGTGCAGGCGCACAGAATATGTCTCCTCGAGGAAGGTGAAGAAGTGCTCCTGGAGGCTCTCGAGGAGGTCTGAGTCGGCCTCGTCGAGGAGGGGCTTGTCACTGTCGAGAGCGTCGCGCAAGTCATAGTTGTTCGCGCTCATAAACAGGATGTGGTCGTAGCCGCAGAGAGACTGGAGGACCTTGCCCAAGTCGTAGTGGATGTCACCCTCGGGCGTCAGAGTGTTCTCCAGCTGGCAGCGCACATCGATGAAGCTGACGAGCTTTTCGTCCTTGGAAAGAATGGCGTTGCTGAAGACCGGGTCACCGTGAATGACCTGCGCGTGAACACCCTTCTCCTCAGCCTCGTACGTGTCGAGGAACTCGTTGATACGGGCGAAGAGGGAGGCGGCAAGGGGACCAAGTGCATCGTACTTGTGCTGGTCCTTGTAGTAACGGCTGCGCAGCTTCGAGCCGTAGTTTGCGTAGATGTTGACGCGGTTGTTCGCCCGCGCGAGGGAGTGCTCCTCGAACTTCTTCTCTAGGGCACTGGGAATATTGAGCGTGGCCTTGTCTGTGCTACCCGTGGTGTGGACGGTGTGGAGAGCCTTGAGGAGGGAGATCAGGCGACCCTTGGTGATGGATCGACCGACCAGGAGGTGAGAGAAGGTCAAACCACGGCGGTTCTCCATGGTGATGTTGTAAGTGGTGGTGTCGGGAATGTAGTCCACGTTATATACGGTGGGGAAGACTTGGGCAATCTCGGCGGGCATGTGGGAGTAGAAGAAAAGCTCGCCGAGAATGTTCTCAGACTTGCTCGACTTGATGACCTTGTCGCCAATGATCTGGATGGTGTTGAAGTCGCGAGCAGCAATCATGCCGGCCTTCTTGGCATCGTCGCCCGTCGCAGCATCTTGTCCGATCAGGGCAGCTGGGTCCTGCTCGTCCAAAAGCCAGCCAATCTCACGCATGGTGTCGAGGTTGGCGTTGACAGCCAAATCGTCGACGTATACATCGGCGTAGGGCTTGCCGAAGTGGATGTCGTGGTATGGGATCTCGTACTTGGCCAGCTGGGCAAAGGTTACAGGGCCGACGTCAGCCAGCACTGAGCCCAAGTTTCCGTGATGTGTGCGCATGCGGCGAGCCGTTTGCTGTCCGAGAGTTAGCACAAAGTTTTGGAAAACTGCAGGAAGCCACAATCTGCTTCCTGCTTGCCAAGCGCCAAGAATCGACTTACAATGATGATGTAGTGACCAGCGTTGTACAACTGCTGGACCAGGCGAATGTTCTTCTCGATGGGAGGGCAGGTGGAGTAGTCTCCGGCCACGGCGGGCACACCGACCAAGGTCATGTCGAGATCGAAGCAGAAACGGCGCTTCTTCAGCTTGATGGGCAGGTTGGAAGTATCCGTCTTGAGAAGCTTCAGGAGGTCCTTGAGCTGCTCGGGTGTGCCCACAACACTGAAGTCCTTGGTGCTGACAGGCATGCCCAGGTACGGCACGCCGTTCTGGATCATGAGGGCGATCATCTGGGAAGTGTAGTACTCGCCGACCTCTGAGCCGTCGGGTCTCTTCATGTCGAGGTTCTGGGCAGCCCATGACTTGAGCTGACCCGCGGACGGGAAAACGTATGCGCCAGTGTTTGCCTTGTTGGAGATGGCCTTCTTCTCCTGGATGTCGACAATACGCTCCAAGCCGTCCCTGTCATAGTAATCTGTTAGAACCTGCATCTTGGCTTGAATAGGCCCGCCCGCTTTGCTCCTGGTGGCCACTCACTTGGGTTCTGTCTTGATGTAAGAGAAAATGGGCTTGTCGCCAACGTCGGGGAAGTAGAAGCAGCCGCCGTGGCCCTTGGGCATGTTACGAATGTCCTGGAGGACATCGGCCCAGTAGATGGTGTCGCAGTCGAGAGAGACAGTCTTGCGCTCGAGGTGCTTCTTGGTCATGCTCTGGGTGACGATGTAGAGCTACGAGGGATCGTCAGCGATGCGCTTCCAAGCTTGGCTTCGGCCCTCCTCGGGCGGAATTGCGCAAGGGCGGAGGAAGAAGAGACAAGAGCGAGGGTCAAAAGAGCAAGCAACAAATCTCAAAGAAACTCAGGGAAGAACTAACCGTCTCGCTGGCACCCTTGGTCTGGTGGCGCAAGCGCAGGAGTCTGAAGTCGATCTTGGAAAACGTCTTGCTCACGAGCTGGCCAATTCTGAACTCGTCGTCGACCTCCTCGTTGATGGCCATCCACAAGGTGTCGCCAGGCTTGAGGCTCAGGTTGTCAATCAGCCATAGCAGCATAGGTCGGCCGACGATGTTGATCAGGGGCTTCGGGTAGCGGTAACCTTCCTTTGCGAAGCGGGAGCCAATGCCGCCAATGGGAATAATAACATTGATGGGCTCGTGGTTGACGTCGCCATTCGCAGCAGCGCCGTTGGCAGCTGCCTTGATCTGAGGGGCCATTATATCGGATTGGTACGATGAACAGATGAAGCTCTGTTTAGTCGAGGTGAAATTGGCCAGTTGCGAAAAGCGAGCGGAGGGACGACGAGAGAGGTGTCGCAAGTCAAAGTCGGGCAAAGGTCCGAGAAATTCGAGGGAGTGGCAGATTGTCGCCAACGATGGCAATGTCTCTCTGAGCTTTTGGGTGGAACCGTGGCGGTGAGACTGCAGCACCACAACCAAAGAAGAGAAAGACGGTCTGCTTTGTTGTTGCAGGAGGGGGAAAAAACCAATAAGTGAAGAAATGCAGGAAATGCGAATCTACAATATCCAGTCCAGCATGTCACAGGAGACAAGGAAAAGAAGCGATGCTAGAGAAGGAGGATTTGCGAAATGTACGAGGCCAAGAGAAGAGGGTCGGCCGACAATGGGGAAAGGTGTCCCTCTTTCCCACCTCAGTTGAAAATGGTACGTACTCTGTACTTGCACTAGGTAGAGACAGCCGTCGGGTATTCGCAAGGTACGCACCTACAGGGCTCAGAAAATTTACACAGTAGGTACTTCTTACCTCATGGAAGATGGAAGCTCAGGGTCGTGGAGACAATATCCCGGTAACAGCAAGCAACAACAGATGCGCGATCTCGCCCTGTGTAGCCGTAGCCGACCGTCCGTCCGTACGTACAGTGAAGACCAGGGGGGCAGAAAAAGGTTCGGGTCCTCTTTACTGCGAAAGAGTCTGAGAGTGCGAAGAAAAAAAAAAGTCGCCTTTTGCTATTTTAATTTTCTCCAACTGGAACAGATCCATTGCGGGCAGTAGCGGCCCCCAAACCCCATTAGGGGACCGACCTGGACCTCCACTATCCCCCTCCCTTGTTCCTGTACGCCCTGTACGGAGCTGTGCCCCTCCTCCCCTTGCCTCTTAGACTCATTTTGGTAGTGTCGAACGGAAAGACGACAAGGATAAAGGGGCTTACTCTTCAGGGGTCCGTTTTCTTCTTCACTTTCCTTCCAAAGTCTGTCTTATCGGGCCTCAGCCGTGCAGCCTGTCTCGGCACGTTGAAACTGGCAACACTGGTCTGTCTGGAACTACTGATACTGTCCTGATAGTACACCATATCACCGTCCACAGTGTTTCAACGAGATCGAGTAGAAGTACCAACTCGCCAATCGAATGACTGACAGACAGGAGACAGCCACAAGTATCATTTCCAGACACGAGGTGACATGCGGTCCGCTGGAGTTTTTTTCCTTGCTGTGCCGCATCGTGACAGTGGATCAATAGGTAACGCCCGTGGGACGCTTACTTCTCTCGAATGCTTGATGAGCATCGCCAATGGCGCTGTCTGCCAATTGGGTGCGCCGCCCGGGCGCGACTGCTTGACTGCTGTCAATGGATTGCGGGAGTGGAGCCTGTTGAAGCCCCGGCCGGAGACAGTTAGCGTCCGAGGGAATTGGCACTGT